CGTGATTACGTCAGACGAGGCTACGCAACGCGTGATTACGTCAGACGAGGCTACGCAACGCGTGATTACGTCAGACGAGGATACGCAACGCGTGATTACGTCAGACGAGGCTACGCAACGCGTGATTACGTCAGACGAGGATACGCAACGCGTGATTACGTCAGACGAGGCTACGCAACGCGTGATTACGTCAGACGAGGATACGCAACGCGTGATTACGTCAGACGAGGATACGCAACGCGTGATTACGTCAGACATCGGCAACAAGCTTTGCGGTAGTAAACAGGAAGTGAAACTTGCTAACTAGCAGAGGCTAATCATTTCGGGACAATGGAGCGATTTTCTCGTGAATGCCTTGCTATTGGGCAAGTTGTAATTATTCTATCTATTCAGCTAGTACAGGCTATGTTTAACGCTGCCAGGAGACGTAGGGAAATAAACGCAATGTTAAACTACGCAGCAGAAAGGCACGTGCAACTATGCCGGGACGAGGCAGGAAAGCGGAAACAGCTGAACGTCAAGTGAGGTAAATATGCGCTACGTCAGAATTTATTCAGCAAACATGTTTCCATCTCCCATTTTGTGCATTAACTACTTTGCGAATCATCCAAAAACCACCTCAAGTGAGCGTAAAAACCTTTTAGTGAATTGAGGATTTTTTTTCGAATTTTATTATTTCCATCAGACTTTTTTTCGCATTTTTAATGCGACACTTCTAAATGTGCATCAAAAAGCCTTGATGGAAACACGGTTAATCAGAATTAATTGTGGCATTTAGTTGATAACAATTAAAAGATCACAATTGCTCTTGCATGATTTTCACTCTAAATCACTTACTCTATGTTCAAATATTATACATCCAAATCATCTGAACAGCCACGATGCAGGTTTTCACCTTCCAGCTTACCTTGCTGCTCATAAGAGACAGGTTGGATGCTAGTTTAATGTAGCCTACGTTGCCTCGGTTTGCGTTTTCTTGTTTTCATTGTACTCCGGTTTATGGCAGATTCAGGTGATTAAGTTTGTAGTGGTACATTTATCCTTGTGTTAGCATTAGCTCAGTGTTAGCAATAGCGTTATTGCTGCAATAGCATTATCTCTATGCTAGCTCTGCATTTGCATTAGCATTACCGTTAACTCCACGTTAGAATTAAATATGAGGCAATGACTAATATAAGTCACTAATGGTAGTAATCGCTATGTGCCAAATATTAATCTTGACTAATTGCACATGAAACACAATAAGTTTTGTTTTAACAAACACAACCAATCCACTTTGTTTGGTTGGTTGTTGGTTTGTTTGGACTAGCTTTAAAGTGCCTGTGACATGCATTTTCATGATATACAAAAAGACAAGGAAAACATCTTTATATTTAAAAAACTTGGCACAACACACACGATTTTACCTGTTATGTCACATAATTGGCATCTTTCCTTTTGAACTTGGCTCAGCTAAAGTGAAACAGGAAGTGACATGAAAAGGGAACTCTTTAAGGAATAAAACTCTCTGGTTTTAATTTTTTAAAACAATATTATTTGAACTCTGGCTCTGTCTCATCTATGATTAGTGATTAAAATAATCTAAAGAAACATCAGATTCRTCTCTACAGTCTGTGTTGTCGGCTGTTGTAACAACACTCTGTTCACATMCAGACATTCCCCTCTGACATCACTTCCTGTTACTTCACAGGCAAATATCTCAACACAAATTCATCTCAGCGACGTGAAATCTTTTGTACAATATGTTATAAATGTTATTTTTCCAAAAATACATTCATATTTATAACAACAATTTGATGTCACGGGCACTTTAAGCTCATAGTTCTGATTAAAATAAAATTTTGATTATCTAGCATAAAGCGCTTTCTAGAGCATCCAATCCTGGTCCTTCAGGGTTACTGTCCTGCATGTTTCACTTGTTTCTCTGATTCATCTGATTCACTAATTTAATTAACTCTTCAAGTTCTGCAGAATAAGTAAGTAAGTAAGTAAGTAAGTAAGTAAGTAAGTAAGTAAGTAAGTAAGTAAGTAAGTAAGTAAGTAAGTAAGTAAGTAAGTAAGTAAGT